CTTAAAGATATATAGAACTCTGAATATACTCTTATAGGTTTTTAATACCTTTAGGAATCTAAAAAATTAGCTAATATATTTATCCTTAATTACTATAAGCTATAAGTTCTTATTATACCCTTTAAAGTAGTTAAAAAGGTCTTAAGCAATTCTATAGTATAAGTAAAGTAACCTTTGTTCTAATCTTTGTCTTAAGACTACCTTCTTTATATAGGTTGTTTAGTAATAAAAGTATTCTAATCTCTTATAGGCCTTGATTTTTACCCCCTAAGCATTTAAAACTAATTACTTAAGCGCTTAAGGTCCTAGATAGCTACCTTGTAGATATTAAAGCTAGGTAAAGTCTGAGCAAGTACTTTTCTTGTAGTATAAAGGTTATATAAAAGTATTATAGTAAAGTAACATTATTACATTAACATTAACTATAGCTATATTACTTATAAGGATTTATATATAAATAAAATAACTAATAAGAGGCTTGTATTTAAGAAAAGTAATATTTACTTTCTATATAAGTTACTTAACTATAAAGCTATCTAAATATCCTTTATATTAGAAAATATAATTAAGTCCTAAGTACTAAATACCTATTATATAGAGTAAAACTTCTAATATAACGTTTACATAAAAATTCTCTACATATACTATATTTTTAAGTATAAGATCCTAGTTTACTCTATTTCAGCTTCTAAGAATCCCTTTAATCACACGTTTACCTTTTACATAAATAAGGTATAAAGTAATACTTAAATTAACTTATTAATTGTTTTCCTTAACTACTTAGACTATGCCTAGCTCTAGGAGGGATATGTTGTTCACTAGGTAAATAGCTCTATAGTTATCTAATATAGTGTTATATAAAAAGATATGTAGACTAGAGTATAGAGTAACAAAGATACTATAAACTTCCTTTTTTTAAGCGGCTTTATCTAGGTTTAGTTAAAGTAAAGTAAAGTTAATAATATATATAATAACCTTTAATAGCAAGTTATTACTAAGTCTATTATTATTATTTTTATTATTATTAGCTTTATTATTATATTTCCTAAGATCCTTTCTTTAAGATAAAGGGATTACTTAAAGCTACTTTTTCTAAGTAAGTTTAGCTTAGAGGTTTATATTCTAAGGGTTATTAATTTAATTATAGATTTATTATATATTATTATTAGTAATTAAGGCTAGTCTAAGTAAATAGCTAGTAAGAGTTTTCTTTATATAAGTATATTTAAGTAAAGGCTAATAGTATAAGTAATTATAAATATATGTTTTATTTAAGTTCTTTAGTAAAAAGTAATATATATTATTTTTAGTTAATATAGTAGAATAACTTACTAAGGTTATATAAACACTAGGCCCTTTCTTATAGTACTTTATTGCTAATAAGTCTTTCTATAAAACGCTAGTTAGGATCATTACGTAGTTATTTAGGTTTTTAACTAGAAGACTTATTGTTTTATTTTAAATAATTTCTGTAAGTTTATAAGTTACCTAAGATAAGGTAATTCTGTATAATACTACTCTTAGAAAGGTTCTTAAAATAAAAATACCTTAGACTTCTAGTAGGTCTAGGATTTTTATATAAAGGTAAGAATTTCGCTATTCTACCAGCTAAACAAATAGGTTAATACTTAAGGCTATTTAATTTAATAAAGCTAGATATTCTTCTTAAATAATAGTTTAGCTAAATAAATTACTTAAAGTATATTATTATTTAAGAATCTTAAGTATTAAGTAAAGTATTATCTAGTTTTATATTAAAGCTTTTATCTAGGTTAGCTTAAAAAGTAATTTAATAATTAATGTTTTTACCTATATATTAATTATATTAAATACCTTTTTTTGTTATTTCTAAATAGCCTTTTTTATATTAGCGTTTAAGATATATATCTAGTATATAACCTTAATATTTAAGTTAGTTATTATTAAAAGGAGTTTATTATTAGTTTATTTAAGATTTATATTAATAATAAATTTATTAAAGGTAAGAATCCTTAAGGTATTTAGGATTTTATTAAAATATTTAAGTTTATTTTTTTCTATTTATTTAGGTTTATCTAAGTTAATAAATTCCTAGATATACTTTAACCTTATTTTAAACTAAAAAGTTGTATACTATAAGAACTAATTGTTTTATGTTTTAAGCTTTTTTATAGCTATAATAGAAATAGATATATTAAAGATATTAGTTTAAGAGAATAGAAATAGTTTGTTTAAGAGAGATTTTCTAGCCTATAGTGTGCTTTAGATATAGTGGTTTAAGGGTGTAATATAAGCTAGGCTTATAACTATCATAGAGTCACCACTTAGGGTAAAAAAGATATAAAGAAAACGGCTTAGATTTCTATGTATAGGATTATTTTGTCTGAAATAAATAAATATGTATCCTGTGTAGTGGATCTGCACGAAGGGACCGGACTAATAGTTAATCCGGGCCCAGCGCAAATCTCACAAGGCTGCGCGATGCGCGTAAGGGCATTGCGACAAAACCAAATCCAAAAGACGGATAAGCACCACCCGCAATGTTATATACACGGGTGCAATAGACGGTGATGGTCTCGATACCATGCGGACCGTTCTGATAGCCTGTAGACCGTCCGCAGCATGAACCAAATACCTCAAGAACTTGAGATTGATTCATGCCTCGAAACCGCCATCCTTACTTGATCAGGGAAGCTATCTCGGCTATCTGTTTTAGGTGAGCTGCCTCCCTATTCCTGCATTCCTCCCTCATGTATGGGGAGAAAAAAGAACGGAAGGAAGACCGTCAGCAACGAAATCAATGTCAGAAACATGCCCCCATAGAGGACGCGGAAGGTTGTCTCTTCCTTCTGCAGATCACTGCCCTAGCCCATCGACATCTCGGTAATTCTGGAAAAGCACACATGTTAGATTATTGTCCGATCTTCCACGGGGTGTCAAGCCCACCTGTAGACGCAGCGGATGATTATGACAGCGTGTTCGACGATGAGATTCGAGATGAAGTGTTTTGCGCACAGCTTGGTTTTTTTCATCACTGGTCACGACCCCGTAGGGATCTCATACTAGCAGGCCGGACCTCAGCTGTCCCGAGTCGACTAGTCCCCACTGTATGCTTACTTCGTCTTATTCTGTTGGCGGCGCCATGCATATGTCAGGAACAAGCCACCGCAAAGTATCATATTGACTACCTGGAAGCAGACGCTGCTGCCTACCATCAAGTTGTTGCCAAGCTCCGATATGGACTGATCCGCTTTCGCAGTGGTCATTGCAGCAGCGCCACCGCCCGCCATCTGGATCAGGAGCGAAAAGACATCCGTGCCAGCAAAGACCAAGGGGTAGAGGCTCGGTCGAATCAGTGGCCACTGGCTCCCGTATCATAGGACAAGATGCTTGAAGGTGACAGAAATGGTGGCTGCGACGATCGTAGGTGCAAGTACTAGCATGAGGTTTTGAATGACGAATGCACCGAAATTCCATAGACTGGGCGTGAGTCCAGTCCTGCTAATGTGACCTACGAACTCAGTAATGGCTACAACAGCGAGACAGCCAACATATCCCCATGATCTCAAACGCCAGCCGAGATAGCTTTGGCCTGTGAGAAGGATGGTGTACGCAATGACAAAGAAGATACCGGCGCCTCGGGTGAAGTTGCTCCCGTAAATGGTCGCTTCAACCGGGCAGCGTTCATTGACCTTGTTGGAAGTGAAGTGCAAAAAAACCCAATACTCTTTTTGGGACATACTGAGGAGTGAGAATGGAATCCCCTAGGTCTGTCGGCGGATTGTCGCCTTGATGGTCGTTGGAAAGAAAAAAAGGAGATCAAGGACTGAAGATAAGCCACAAGATCTCAACAAAACGTATGCCTTCGTTTTGCTCACTTTCCTAGACCCAAGACATTTGCAGGACATGTGCTTGGGTCTTTGGGTACTGAGGAGATACCAGGCACGGGGCCAAGAATCCAAAGCAACATGTCCATGTACCGCACTGCCTTTGCCATGTTTCTGTGACATCCCTGAGAAATAGAGCGCTTTTCCTCACAAGCTCTTGGTGATATAAGCTCAAAACTGCGGAATTGCATGACCCGACAAGATTCATTTCAAGAGACCCCTGAATTTGTCTGCAATCAACATTGGGAACCTATCCTAGATTCGAACGGAACCAAAAAAGGGTGGAAGAAAAGGGGAAAGAGTATTTCGGGCCTAAGGATGAGCCTTGCCTGGTTAGGTCCGAAGGTGGGTTGCTAGAACGGACATTGTTCGAAGACCGAGTGTCCATGCTGGCGTTAGCCTGAGGGTGAAAGCCCCCGCACCCTGTTCAACTTAGTATCATGAAGCGTGCATACCCACCACCCTCATCCGTCCCCAGCTGTCGGTCTACAGTCCGATTCGTCCTAGCTCCCATACATCAGTCATTCGCGGGTGGCCAATCCAAGACTCTAGAGAAAGCTTTCCCGGATATACTCAGAAGGCCTATGCACTATCTTGTGACGTCGCTTGTTGGAGAGGATGATTTGCACCTGAGTTAGTCCTCTGTGTCCGCTCCACAGTTCCTACTCGTTACCTAGACCAAAATTTGATCTCTGAATATGTTCAAAGAATAGGGCTAATCCTGGTGGATTGTTGGCAGCCGGGGAGTTAAGCTATGGAGTTACAGCGGACTTGCTAGTGGGAACTCTCCACCTTCACTCTTGCTTGAGACATTCGTGCACAGCCTAGTTCTTGACGCCTGTAGACTAAATAGATGCCTACCCTAATACTGCGGAAAAATGAAGTGAACCCGACTTGGCACATGCACGTCTCGTATAGCTTTCGCTTGACATACTGAAAAGATCATGCCTAAACCTTGAATGCTCCGTACTTACAAGCGTCTCGCTTTTCTTACTGTAGATACCTCATTTGCTCTACCCAGTTGTTCGGTGTTCGCGAGTCTGTTTTCCTCTGTGTACCTATCCAGTTCGCTTCGACTTTTCAATTGTTTCTTTATTCAACGTCCAGCTAGAATCACCCAAGCAAGTACGGATGATGTTCGTGTCTGCCAGCACGAATGATCCAAACGTTCAGCGCCCCCCTGCTGTGGCCAACGGACAGGCCTCAACCCAGCCATCCTCAACAACGAACAAACTCCAAGAAATCCAGAAATCTCCAGATCGTGAACCTACTTTCAAGGACTACGTCAGAGTCTTTTCTTACGCCTCAAAATGGGACATTGTCGTTTACATCGTTGTCGTCTTCACCTCCATTGGTGCTGGAACAGCTTTGCCTCTTATGAATGTCATCTTTGGCCAGCTCGTTGGCCAGTTTGTCGGATACTTCCAGGAACCTCCTACCGTGTCAAGGTCCGATTTCGAACGCCTTCTGGGTAGACAATCGTTGTACATTCTAGGTCTTTTCCTTGGTCGATTCTGCCTAAGCTACGTCAATAAGTTCTCCTTCCGCATGATGGGCGTCCGGCTATCCTCCGCTATTCGACTCCACTACCTCCAGTGCCTCTTCCGCCAGTCCATCCACGTCATCGACTCTATGCCACCCGGTGCCGCCGCCAACACTGTCACCACTACGGCAAATACCCTACAGATTGGCCTCTCCGAGAAGCTCGGCGTCTTCTTCGAATATAATGGTACCGTTTGGACCGCCATTATTATCGCTTTTACATGGAGCTGGGACCTGACTCTGGTTACATTTTCTCTCGTTGTCTTCCTGTTGGTCGTCACGGGGGTCTTGTTTCCCTTTGCCATCAAAGGTCTGGTAGGCGCCATCAAGGCCGAGGCCGAGGCTAACGCAGTAGCCAGCGAGGCCTTCAGTGGAATTCGAATGCTTGCTGCGTGTGGTGCCGAGAACCGCATTGTTGCTCGATACACGTATTGGGTGAAAGAGGCGAGGCGACAGAATCAAACTATGGCTCCATTCTTGGCTCTCCAGCTGGGGTTTCTGGTACGGGATCCCCGTATTATCGGTCATCGGCCTGTGCTGACATGGCGTTCTAGTTTGTCGGACTTTACGGAACCTTTGGTCTTGCCTTCTGGTACGGCACGAAGCGCATCATCTCGGGCGCCATCCAAGACCCAGGTGTCATTGTTGTCGTTCTCACATCAGTTATGATGGTCGTCATCTCCCTTGAGCGTATTTCGACACCACTCATCGCCGTCGCCAAAGCCACGGTCGCCGCTTGCGAGTTCCTGACCGTTATCGACGCTCCTCAGCCGGCAACCGGAACAATCAAAGGCCCAGATACCATAGCGACGGGGGATATCGTCCTCAACGACGTCGTGTTTGCCTACCCCAGCCGACCTCATGTCAAGGTACTGGATGGCCTAAACCTACGCATCGAGGCAGGGATGAAGACAGCGATTGTAGGCCCCTCTGGGTCTGGAAAGAGCACAATTGTCGGTCTCATTTTGGGATGGTACAGTCTCCGCGAGCAATATGCCATTCCCAAGACAGTCAAAAAAGACATGATGAAGGCGGGCCCGAAAAAAGGAGAAGAAAAGAGCGGTGCTGTCGACAGATCAGTTGATGGCGATGCTGGTGTTATCGCAAAAGAGGCAGAACCCCCAGTCCAACTGTCGGGATCCATTTCAGCGAGTTGCGTTGCCTTGGACGATATTGAGCTCAAGTGGTGGCGAAGCCAGATCAGCCTCGTTCAGCAGGATCCATTTCTGTTCAACGACACAATCTTCCACAACGTTGCTCATGGGTTGATTGGCTCACCCTGGGAGAACGATCCAGAGGAGAGGAAGAGGGAGCTGGTGAGGGAGGCATGCCAGGAGTCGTTTGCCGACGAGTTTATCGACCGTCTCCCAAAGGTAAGGTGTTCGAACACGCCTCTCTCGACGCGGATCTAACTTCTACCAGGGCTACGACACCGAAGTCGGCGACGGCGGCATCAAACTTTCCGGAGGTCAGCGTCAACGTATCGCCATTGCTAGGAGCATTATCAGAAGACCCAAGATTCTGATTCTAGACGAGGCCACTAGCGCTATCGATGTCAAAGGCGAGAAGATCGTGCAGGCTGCACTCGATAGGGTTGCTCAGAACAGGACCACCATCACAATCGCCCACCGTCTCTCGACAATCAAAAACGCCGACCGGATCATTGTTCTAAAAGAAGGCAGGGTTGCAGAAACAGGCACCCATCAGAGCCTTCTAGAGAACGAATCGGGTGTTTACTATGGACTGGTCTACTCTCAACAGATGTCTCTCGGCACTCCAGCACAAGCGAGCACAGAAGAGAGCGAAGAAGATCTTGATGCTGTACCCACGAGGAAAACGAACACTGCCCAGTTTGAAACAGATGTATCTCGCCAAGAGCCTCGAGTTGGTAATCGCAACCTGTTCAATAGCTTTGGCAGGCTTCTCAAGGAGCAACGAGCAGAATGGCCTTTCTACGCAGCCACCTTTTTGGCTGCTATGGGTGCTGCGGCGGGCACGCCTCTCCAGGCATGGCTGTTCGGGAAGGTCCTTGGTGTCTTCTCGCTTCAAGGAGACGAGCTGCGACACGAGAGTGAGTTCTGGTCAATGATGTGGCTCGTCCTTGCAATTGGCGTTGGGATGAGCTACTTCTGTCAGGCGTACATCTCCATTTACGTCTCTTGTCGCATCGGCGCCATCTACAAAGAGCAGTATTTCAGAGCCATTTTGTTCCAGAAAACGTGCTTTTTCGACCAAGAAGAAAACTCTCAGGGTGCATTGAGCTCTCGTATATCAAGCGATCCTAAGCTGCTCGAGGAACTTGTGGGTCTCAACGGGCCTTCTTCTTGATGGGTCTCTTCAGTGTCGCCGGTTCTCTGGCTGTTGCTTTTGCCTTTGGCTGGAAGCTGGCTTTGATTGCCATGTTCATTACAATGCCCATCGGCTTGTTCTCGGCCTACTGGAGCTTCAGGTACGACCTCGAGTTTGAAAGGTTGAACGCCGCCGTCTTTGCAGACAGCTCTAAGTTCGCTGCCGAGTCTATCGGGGCTTTCAGAACAGTTTCTGCCCTGAACTTGGAAGGTACCATCAACAAGCGCTACGAGTCGCTTTTGAACAACCTTGTCAGTGGCGCCTTCAGGAAGGCGAAATGGTCATCCTTGATTGTCGCTTTCGCCGCGAGTTCTAGCATTGGCTGCCAGGGCTTAATCTTCTGGTACGGTGGGAGGCTTCTCGCTAGCAGAGAGTACACCTTGCTGTCATTTTTCGTCTGCTTCATGGCCGTCATCCAAGGCGCCGAGGCCGCAGGACAAGCCATGAGCTTCGGTCCAAACGTAGCGCAAGCCAGCGGAGCGTCCAGCCGCATCCTTGGCATAAGAGACTCGATGAACCGAGCTAGCGAATCGAAGCCAGGGTCTATTCCGGATACCGAAGGCGGAGTCAAGATCGAGCTACGCGATGCCTACTTCCAGTATCCCACCCGCAACGTCTCGGTTTTTCAAGGCATCAACCTCACCATCGAAAAGGGCCAGTTCGCTGCTTTGGTCGGTGCCTCGGGCTGCGGCAAGACATCTATCATTTCCCTCATTGAACGTTTCTACGACCTGCAAAAAGGTGCCATTTTCTGTAACGACAAGAACATCTACGAGCTTGATCTATACGAATATCGCAAGAGTCTGTCTCTCGTAGCGCAAGAACCGACTATTTTCCAAGGTACTATCCGCGAGAACATCCTGCTGGGCGTTGACGACAGCACTCCCGACGAGCGTATCTACAAAGTCTGCCGCGATGCCTACATCCACGACTTCATCACTTCCTTACCCGATGGCTACAATACTTTTGTGGGCTCCAAGGGCGTCTCACTCTCGGGCGGCCAGAAGCAGCGCATTGCAATTGCGCGTGCCCTGATTCGTGACCCCAAGGTTCTCTTACTCGATGAGGCGACCAGCTCGCTGGACTCGGAGTCGGAGAAGCTCGTGCAGGCCGCGTTCGAACGAGCGGGCCAGGGGCGTACCATGGTTGTCGTGGCTCACCGCCTAGCGACAGTGCAAAATGCTGATGTCATCTTCGTGATGGGTGAAGGTAAGGTTTTAGAAAAGGGAGCGCACGCCGAGTTGTTGAAGAATAGGGGTGTTTACTGGCACATGGTGAGTCTTGCCCTCCTTCCATCCAACTCCAGTGGGCCCACGCTAACTCAAGTCTGAAAAACTCCAGTGTCAAAGCCAGGCCCTCGATCGATAGAGTGAGTTTGTTTGAGGCGGATACCTTGGAATGAGTTAGGGCGTGCCTGTGATGGAAACAATAGTTAGCCACCTGATACTTCTCTGGGAAGCGAATCTATTTCCACAGCACAGTTCGTAGTGGGTTGTCCTGCTGTCATGCCAAGTGCCTAGTCATACAGTAGGGCGTCTCTCGCCTGACATTACCACTTCCGACTCAATCTGGATGTACTTCCCTGGAGGCTGCTGGTACCTCAGTCCGTTTTACTTCAACATATCATTAGGCAAACTAGAACAATCGCGAAGGAAAACACAATAACACAGGCTTACTACTACTTGCATTTAAGGAGCAGCACTATCCGTGCATCATATCACTACCCTAATACTATGTTCACGAAGACAAGCAATCACATTCCCCATTTTCAAACCAAACCAACGCTGATCGCAGCCAATGCCCAGTCCATGAATCCCGCATTCGTGTCGAGAATGTTGGTGTTGAACTCGGCCGAAGTCGGGTAGAAGTTACCCGAGGGACCAAACTCCAAGGTGTATCCGTAGACCTTGTTGACACCGGGCTTGGCCCAGAAGCGGGAGAAGGAGTAGTCGTCGCTGGCGCCGGACGTGGGGTAGAGACCGACAGCTTGCATGGACGTGTAGGCGCGGCCGCCAACGGCCTTCATGGCGTTGATGGTGGCGGTGGCGACGGAGCGGATGTTGGTGAGGTCGGTGGCCGGGATGTACTCCTTGTACGCCGAGTCGCCGACGGGGCCGCGCTTGCCGTCGTAGGCCGGGTTGAGAAAGTTCATGGCGGAGGTGGTGGTCTGGTCGTCATCGTCGCCCCAGCTGTAGAGGAGGTCGCCGACGGCAGAGTGGATGTCCATGAACCAGCGGATGTTGGGGAACGAGTCGTAGACGGAGACGAGGTTCTTGGTCTCGGGCTCCGAGGCGGCGGCTGTGCCGGCAAAGACCTCGGAGCTGGGCGAGGTGGAGGCGGGCGCCTCGGACGGGTCAAAGTACTTTTTGAAGTTCCAGAGGAAGTCAAAGTTGCGGTTGATGTCGACGCCGACGGAGCCGCCGCTGGAGCCGGACTTTGTGTTGCGGTTCTTGCGCCAGAGCGAGCCGGACGACTGGTCGTAGGCGACACCGTCGGCGTTCACCAGGGGGAAGAAAACGATGCCGGCGGCAAGGACACTCTTGACCTGGGCGTTGGTGTATGTCTTCTTGCCGTAGGTGAGGCCGCTGCCGGACTTGTTGGCCGCGAGCAGGTCAGAGACCCAGTAGATGATGTTGTCGGGGCCGCCGCGCTCGCGGGCGTGCACGCCGGCACTGAAGTACAGGTGGTACTTTGACTTGTCGGAGCCGGCGCCAGTGAAGTAGGCGTACTGGGTGGCGCCGTTGAATGTCTTGGAGGGCAGGGTAAGCGAACCGATGCCGTAGTTCTTGACGAGGGCGTCGGCGGCCGACTTGATCTCGGCGACGTTCATGATGCTGGCAATGGTCTTGCCGGAAGCCTGCGTCCCGAGACCGACGGGGGAGATGGTGCCCGCGGCGAAGCGGTCGCCGGTTCCGATGGGGGCCGTGGCTCGCCTGTCCAGGTCCCTCCTGTGGATAGAGACCTCGGGCGTCAGGTCGTATTCCTTGGATAGATACTCGATCTGCTCCTCGGTGAGCCACGCATGCAGCTTGTAGTGGCTGCCGTCCTCGCTGGGCTTGGCGACAGCCCTGCAGCCAAAGTCGTATGTGTCATTGCGGACAATGTCCCTGGATGTTGTCAGTTGCCGTCTTGAGGAATGCCTCAAAAAGATTTCGACGAGGTCTCAACGAGGTTTCTCACCTGAAGTGCGAAGGCGTCGGCCCCTGCAGATAAACGGGCAGGAGCTCGGCGAGCACCACAGTGCTCTGAAGGATCAGAGACGCAATGAGGGAGTACTTCATGGTGAGCAGACCGGTGAAATTCGAGATGCAGCAAGGAACGGCCCGTCGCCAAGCATGCACCACGGAAGGGGGACTTGGCCTGGTTTACATATTGTTTTGATCGCGCCCACCGACTCTTTTGGTGTCGCGGACACTCGATCTCATTGAAGCAGGCGGTTCCTGCTCGTCCACTTAATTGCGAGTCATTATCGCGATTGCCCGGGAAGGGTCTATCCCACCTGCCGCAAAGGGCCTAGCGCCGCTCTGCCATTGGTAGATGTGGACGAATCATCCGTCCAATTGAGTTCTTGAGCCCGCGTCAAAGGTGGCAACCACGGACGGGCGATACCACCTTCCCCTTAACAGGCTGATGCAATTGCCGAGCACCTCCTCTTTCTGTTGTCGCGCCCGGGGAAACGACTGCCAGCAGTAATTAATAAATGGGAACCTGCCCCATCTCTTGTTTCCCCCCCTTTACCGCTCGGGCCTGGGGTTACCATATAGGAAGGCTTTAATTTTAGCGTTTTTATGCTTAGATGACTGCGAGGGGGTTACCCATTGATCCCCAGACTTGTTGGAGGAGAAGAGGACATAAAACTACACCTATGCCCACCTTCTTTTTTCTTGGAAAAAGAAAAGGGCTTTTTAAAATCCTTACGTTTTGCCAATCCTGAATTTGTGGCGAGACTTGAACCCAATAAGGCGAACATCGTCTACTAAGGTCTTGTTGAATTCCTAAATAGATGCCAGAACTTATCTCGCAGTTCGTTAGCGCAGCAGATTTATTTTCATGGGGAGTTAGAAATGGAACACAGAGAGAATGACTCCAAAGACGCACTTGTGACGTAAGGGGGGAATTGCAAAACTATTTAGCTGGGAAAGTGAGAGATGAGCCGCCGTTTGGCTGCGAACCCCCTAAAATGGGCCGGATTGCTGCCGGGGTGGTAGCACGTCTTTATGTCATAGTTCCCTGCATCGCTGTACTCTCTACAAGTAAATGCAGTTGATCCGCAAGCTGAATGCTGGCCCTATCAAAACAGTTTGTCTACTCTTACCGGTCGCTACAGCAGGAAAACTCAGGTCGATGCACCTACAGATTCCTACGTACGCACCGCCTCAATACGGACAATAACAGTCACTTCTGCCGCACCTCGGTCATTAACATCCAACGCACACATTGACCATGACCCGTCTCTCCATCGCCCTTGCCGCCCTCACGGCCCTCCTTTTCAGTATCATCGACACGGCATCCGCCGGCAGACTCTCCAACTATGGTGTATGGAAGGGCACAGCAACTCTCTTAAGCGCAACCCCGGGTCAGACAGACAGGTCGACAGTCTACGCTTTCCTCAGCATCTACGACGGCATCTCCTATCGTGCGGGCAACGACCCAGGCCCGCCACGTCCGCGCGACATCGCCGCCGCCTTTGATCTTAAAGCTCCCTTCCCCGAGGACGACCGTGTCGTCTACTGGATCAACCGAAACTTCACACACCCGCTCGCCGATGATGGCTTCGATCTTGTGAACCTCAAGCCCGGGTTTCACAACATTTCTCTCAATGTCTCCGATTTTCTTAAAGCCCCACCCTCTCTGGACCTTTTTCGCGACAAGCTGGTCGAAGTTGAAGCCGCGCAGCTGGCATCCTACGACGACCCCGACCTCGCAATCACCGACGTCATTGTTTCCTTTTTCGAGCCCGCCGTCGAGAACCTTGCAGATGTATGGGTGTGGGGCCAAAGATCGGAGAACGGAAACGGGCTGGGCCTGCATCACACGCACATGAATCAGGGTGGCCTGGGCCGGCTTTCCGCCGAGAATGGCATTCGCCAGGATGGAGGTCTGATTGTCAAGTATTATGATCACTGGGAGGCGCTCTTTTTGGCATTCCCTCAGCAGGCTGTCGCGACAGATCAGATGGGTCAGCCTTTGGGCGTCACTTTTGCAGATCTTTTTCCTGTGGTATGAAGGCGCTGGTTTTTGTTTTTTGGGCGTTGAGCAGTGTATGGTAGTCAGTATTCGAGATAGAAAAGTGTTTATTTCTCCTTGCTAGGGCGAGGATTGCGGCGTTGGGCAAATATTGGCCCCAAAAAGGTTGCCAATCCCAGAGAGATTCAGGAATCACAAACAAAGGACGCAGCAGTGACATGTGATATTAATGCAGGCACCTCGTGGAATAATGCATACACGGTTAAAGTCTGTTACAAATGCCACCGAAATATTCTCAGCACGCCGTTGACCTCAGTTGCAGCCCTCCTATGAGGCCCCAGTCTTGAGAATCTCGAACGCCTCGCCTCGGCTGCCCATGAACCGCTCCTCAGCAGCCGTCCAGTTGATAATCTTCCACACGTTGTTGACGTAGGAGGCCTTGCCGTTTTGATACTGCACCATGTCAGCGTTACTCGTGAAGAATCGCTCGGGAGAGAGACGAATTGGCTCACCTGTAGGTAGTACGCATGTTCCCACATGTCAATCCCGATGACGGGCACTTCTCCGCCGACAACGGGATCCTGGTCCTTGGTCGTGATGATGCGTAGACCGCCATCACTGCCGGGCGCCTTGACGAGCCATCCCCAGCCCGAACCCTGGATGCCCATCAGAGCAGACGAGAATGCACTGGTCAGACCGGCCAGGCCCCCAAATGTCGTCTTGACCTGTTCCATGAGGGAGGGCGCCGAGCCATCGGGAATCCACGGCGTCTTTGCTGTCGGCGGGGGCAAGCGTCTTCCAGAAGAGGGAGTGGTTGATGTGACCTCCGCCGTTGAACTTGATCATGTTTTGCAATGCAATCTGGTCGGGGATGTTGGAGTCGGCAACGGCCTTGGAGTAGTTGCCGAGGGCGGCATTGAGGTTTGTGACATAGGCTTGGTGCTGCCCTTGGGGTTAGTCCAAGGTTCCGGGGCACGTTGGAGTCGGTGCACTGGTTACGTGTTTGTCGTGATGGAGAGTCATGATCTCGGCAGAGATGTGGGGCTCGAGAGCCTGTAGATGGAGCGCACTGTGAGACACTGACAGACGGCGAGGGTGTCTGTAAATGAAACTCACATTATAGGCGTAGGGAAGAGGAGGCAAAGAGTATGTCTGAACAGCCATCTCGGGCGGAGCGTTCTGCAGTCAACGGGGGATGAATTAGTATTTGTTGCTTGGCAGTATTGCAATAGGTATCCCAGCGGTGTTATTGTCCGACGGTGGTGGCCCGTCGCGGAAACATCGTGGTTTAACAGCGGTGGTCACGAGAAGTGAGAGGAGAGGATGAAGCCTGGAAAAAGGGACAAAAGCCTGGAGGAACAACAGCAGTCACCATCTCACCGTATTCGGTTGAAAAGGAAAAATCATTAGCAACATATACAGGCGCCCCTGTCTGGGAAGGCGCAACAGGTGATGAGAGATTCGTCATGGTTTCCTTGCGCAGCAGTAACAGTCTCAGTGTCAACTGGCCAATGTTGGATAATTGGGAGACGAAGGAAGTCGTGGGAATATGGCTAGCGGTTATGGCAGGAGCAGCAGGCGCAGGCAGGAGAAACGCTGTCTAAGAAACCAGGGAAGGTGGCCGACCGAGCGATGTGGCTATCTGGGTGATACTGCGAGAGGCAGTTTGCTGCTGACGTTGACGTCCAGGAACACCCCCGATTGATTCGGCGGCCACGTTACGGTTACCGTTCAGGGGTCCCGTCTCGCTGAGTCAGGGGGCCGAGCTTCTGACCTTGACCGACTGAATTGCTAATCAGCACGTCACATCGCACCATTCATTGGAACTATTCCGAACAAGACCCGACAAAAGCTCGAGAAGGGAAAGGTGTATTTTCAATGATTTACTCTTAATAGGACTTGACGGCAGTTTACGCCTTCTTCCATGCATCGTGGACTATCTTTCCCAAGGAAACAGCCTGTGTTTTGTGCAAATGGAATATTATGGATCACGTTGTCAACAAACAACATTTGGAATCCACCTTTTTTTGTCTACCTAGTTCTGCGGCTCTGCCAACTGCTCTATGGTTTTGAATAGTATACCAGGTGCTGGTCCGGCTAGGTGAGACTCCTCCACGCCATTCTTGTAGAAGTAAAAGCTAGGCACAACTTTAACACCGAGGTCCTTAGCGACGTCGGGAAGAACGTCAATATCGAGCTTGACAAAATGGATGTTTTGATGTTTCTCCGACAACCTTTAATCCTTAGATACGATTTTCCTTTCAAAAGAGGGGCGGGGGGCGGGAATGGGGTGGGCGGTTATTGGTTGACATTGGCTGACAGTCGGACTCACTCTGTAAGCTTGGGCACGAGAGCCTTGCATGGGCCACACCACTCTGCGAATGCGTCCACTACAACGATCTCTTTCTCTGCAATCGCGGCCTGGAACTCATCACGACTAGACGATTCCAGTTAAGTTGTGTTTCCAGAATTGGTCGCATGAGGCAGCAGACTTACGAGGATACGGTGTGAATGGTCATGATGGGCAGTGTCAATCTGATGAGTGTTCGCGGTGGTGTTTTTCTCGGTGCTGAAGCTCTTGTACTGAGGACGAAACGAGGACCGAAAAGTGTAAACCCCAATGTCTGATATATGTGCTTCTCGGGACGCTTCAATTTGTCAGCGAAATGTTGCGTCGCTGACGCTGAGTCAGCTAGACTTTCCTGTTAGGTGGCAGTATTCACATTCATGAATGCTGCTTTATATAGCGCCTGCGCTCAGATTGCAAATTTTCAGGTTTATAGAACAATGTTGGCCCGTTCAATTCAAGGGACGTTGGAAGGTTATACTTGGAATTCTATTGATAGTCTACTATTTGTTGATGACTTACTACATCGAACCGCGGCAAGAGACGGGATTGCCAAGAAGCCTTTTGGTCGGCATTTCATTTCATTGACCGCCCAGAACTCGTAAAAAGCTACACGCGCATTATTCGATGTTATCCTCACTTAATCTTGCTAACAACATACCAGCCGGAATATCTCTAGTTTAGTTCGGATACTTAGGTGTTACCTTCTCTTTGTTAATAACACCTATTAAATGATGCCTACTAACAACCTGCTTCTAAAAGCACGTGTCTCGAGAATCCTAATCACGACTGCCGAAGACCGATAACCGCTGATAGGATATTCCACCGACTTCCGCTATAAGCGGTACAATTGCGGTAGGCGCCGAGTTTAGCAGCTGGTTTAGGTCCAGGGGTCCTTCGCTTAAGCATGGAACTCATGTTGGATGAATCCTTCATGTATGCAAGCCCAGCATTTCAAAAGTGCCTGATTACGAATGCAAGTTCTTAGCATCAACTCATTTAGTGGAGATCCGTCACTTCTTACCTACTTCTCACTTCAAAAAAATAATGCAACTTCATCCCGACAGTCATGACCCTCCATCATTCAAGCCAGTCAATCACCTCATTCCCTATCGTATGCGCTCTTGTTCCAGAGTCCAAGTCTATTTCTTCGGATCATCATGAACGCAACCGAAGGCATCCAGTCCGAGCAAGCGGGAATTGAGAAGGGTGTGCACGAGGCACGGGCCTTGGTCAACAATTGTCCGCTGGAAAATGAAGAACATAACCAAGAAGAAGAACATCTCCCTCCCCGCGATCGTGGATGGGCTGCTTGGAAAAGTCTTGTCGCAGTCTCACTCATCGCGATGGCCACGTGGGGTAACAAAGCATATTCATTTCTCTCTCAAATATTACAACGAATTGCTGATGGTTGTTTCTCGTCGAAGGTTTCGGTGCTACACAGGGCATCTTTCGAGAATACTACTTCAAGACACCTCCTTTACAAGGAAACCAACTAGTAGCCTCCACTGGCCTACTGATTGTTGTAAGCACTGCATACGCTGTATACCAATACTCGACAGCTAAACTACCCCAGGGCCTCCTACAAACTCTTCCACCATTTTTGCTTAAAATTATCGATACATATCCTCATTATAGATTTCATGTGATGTGGAGCGGTATGATCCTTGTCGTTATATCTACTATTGGCGCCGCTTTCTCGACATCGGTAAGAACCCTGCCCAGTATAACAATAAGAATCATACCTACAACTATTAAAAGGCTGTGCAGGTAATCATGACACAGGGCGTCATGTATGGCCTGTCAAGCGGGCTTCTCTTCGCACCCTGTTTAAGCTTTGTGAACGAATGGTTCCTTAAGCGGCGTGGTCTTGCCAACGGCATCTTGTAAGTGATTGATGAGTTCTAGGGAGGGGTGATAGCTGACTAACTTACCCAGTTTCGGCGCTCCCAATGTTGCTGCTTCGGGCCTTTCACCAATATTCTCTATTCTTCTCAAGCGCTTCGGGCCTCGGAAAACACTCATCGGATGGGCCATATTCATAGCTGTCATCATATCGCTCGGCATACTGTGCGTCCGCTCTCGACGAAGCAGCAATGCACAGGCAGAGGAAGCAATCCGGAAACCGTCTTCGACTCTGAGAGTATTGAAGCGGCCAGTGTTCTGGCTCTTTGTCTTCTCTATGGCGATGCAGAGCCTAGCCAACAACCTCCCTGCAAATTACCTCCCTAGCTACGCCACAGATATGGGTGTCTCAGCAGAACAAGGCGCATTGTTGGTCACGTTTTTGTCCCTGTTTGGAATTATCGGCCAAGTCTCAATTGGAGCTCTGACGTAGGTCTCACCCATTTACTGCGCCGCCATGCCATGTATGCTGACTTAAACACCGACAGAGATGCCATTGGGCCCTTGATACCTATGCTACTGAGTACCCTGGTTAGCAGTTTTGCAATCTTTGTTGTGTGGGGCTTAGGAAGATATTACTGGAATATGGTAGTTGCTTCTATACTTTTCGGTGCTTTCGCATTTAGCTTCATGGTCTTACGTAGCCACATGGCTGCAGTTGTTGTGGATGACCCTAACCGTCCGGCTGAGGAGCTTTTCGTTTCAGGCATTCTGCTCTTTACCCGGGGTGTTGTGGGCGTCGCTTCAGGCTATATAGCAGCTGCTGTCATGCAAAATAGCGAATATATCGGACTTCAACCGGGGTATCGGGCTGGAAAGTGGCGTTCCTTCATCTTGTTTCTAGGCACTACGATGACAGCGGCGACTCTAGGTGCCGTGGGTTTAATTAAAAAGAAGAAAATAACATAGAAACACAATTTGCGTAGATTAAACTGCTTAAGGGCGACAAAATGGGGCTAGACAGATATAGACTTATCTGTTAGAGATTCGTTATAGATGTAGAATTAGAGGTTGCCGGCAAAGATAACTACACCACTCTTTAACTCAGATGTGGCTCACTTAGCCAGTTAACCAAAATCACTAAAAAGTTACCCGCCTTGCCTATCTGCTTTCTTGACTGCTTGCCCGATGTTTAAGGTTACTTGGATGAGCTGGATGGGTAGCATGAACAAGTGAATGTATGAGGGGCTGATTGGTATTCACGTGTTAGTGTAACCGTTAAGCACTAAATAGTATACATGCAATTCCGAGGCTAGATTTGATTTGCTGCTTATGCAGGTGTTGCTTGTTAGGGGAACAGCATAAATGTAATAAATAGGTAAGAGAAAAGAGACTATTTACATTAATACACGGCACCAGGATAAGGCTAACAAGGAGAATATTTACGTGTAAGCCAATGAGCTATCTTAGTGTTACCACAATCTCATAGTGCGCCCACATGGCCCTGTTCCTGACTTGGCCGAGACCAACAAGCTGTCATGGCCATAAGTTAATAACCCTTTGTGTCGGCAAAAACACTAAATTTTGAAACCGTCGATTGAATTGATGGTGTTGTTCCGATTTCACAAGAGCAAGCTAGATGACTCAAATGAGAGATAAACAATAAATACTTATTTGGATTATAGTTTGCAAGCTAGAAGAAATACCCAAAAGACCACAGCAAGTAAAAGTGTGGGGTTTAGCGAATTGAAGTAAAGGTTACCTTAATCGAAGGAGAATCAGTGCCAACATTGACACCCACAACCACTACAGTCAACCTCACCTACTCCCCAACGACTTCATCCAGCCAATCCAACCAAGCAGGAGCAGGGGACCCGACCCCTTCACAGCTAGTGACAATGTTGGGGCTGCTTTGAGAATTCCCTCCGAGAATTACTGATCCCGTCGCGTCCAGGATTGTAACTCTGAGACTGCCAGGTCCGTGCCGGTCGGCCCAGAACACACGGAAAGGGATGTACGCCGAGGTGTCTGTAACCTCAAAAATGTAGGATAAGCGAAAGTCGACCCACGGTCCAGAATCGGGCCACCGCCCATAGGCCTGGCTGTTAGCGGCCGAAAAGGATCCAGAGAGCGCTACTTCGCCAACCCAGACGTGAGCGAAATCATCGGGGTAGTCGATGTAGATAGTGTAAGTGCCCAGCAAAGATGGCTTAATATACCCGCGATGCATAAGTGCGCTGCATGCCAAGCCGCTGCCTGGTGGACCTTCGACTCCATACACGCTAAGGGGCCTTCCGGCGTCATCTTGCGAAAACCACATATGGGAAGTGGTGCCGGTGACCCAGGGGTTGACACCCTCAAGAATGGTTCTAAAGTCGGCGTCCCGAGGGCTTTTGTTACTGACTTCAGAACACTGCTCGGTGCCGAGGCCATAGTTATACAATGCGAACTCGATACCCTCTGTGCATGTGGGTAGAGCAGACGAGGTCGCAGTGGCCGAGGTGGTGAAAGAAGGCGATGTTGTTGAGAAGGACGAGTTTGTCGTAAAAGACGAGTTTGACCAAGATGAGGTCCTTGAGGACAAGGTTGGAAAGGACGGTTGGACAGTGAGGGTGGGTGTGATGATGACGGTCTGCGCTGGGCCCGTAACGGTAACGGTAGTGGCCGCGATGTCTTCGAAACAGTGACAAGCAGACCAGTATGCCGTAACGTCTGGACAGGAGCTAGCATAGGCGGGCTTGGTACCGGTGATAATCGGAGCAGGGATCTCGGCACGGGCGGCGTGAACGTTGTTGACAACAACAGGCGTAGCAGTCACCGTTACAGTACTGTAGAGAGTAATCTGTTAGTGATTTTGAACAAAATGGTTTGGTAGAGTCCAGGGCGCGACATACCCAGGCACGATGGTGGTGTAAGTCGTCAGAAGATCGGCGCACAGAGATGATCTCAAGGCGAAGGGGGGGTCCTTTCTGGCTACCCCAGCGACTTGTCGCCCACAATTGTTGTTGCAAATCGCGGCAAAAGCCGGTGTCAGTCCGAAGACGAGACTGAGGATAGTTGCAGTCTTCATGCTGTAACGGACTAGGAGATGGTACTGATAGTTTGATGTGTTGGATGAATAGACAGATGTACGTCCGAAAGACCTCCTTTTATATAGATTCTTCACGTTGAAATCTCTACTGCCAACATGAATCCTCAAGCCAAATGACAAGATAATGTTTTGGTGCTGATTCAGTTGACTTGTCGTGTCTCTACCTAAACAATTTGGCGCCAGCCACCGGATGCGTATATGCTTGGCACCGTGTCTAAACGAACATTGAACATCGATTGAGAATTAAATACGAGGCAAATTTCTGCAGTTATCTCGGGTAGAGTTAAAGTTCGGTTTAAGACTTTTCAACATGTTCCCCTTGCGAGAGCTACATCTGTTTTTATGACGGTTTCGGTCAGCCGAAAAGGAAGCGGACTCTTGGCTAAACACCACAATCATTCCAACTAGGTATCCAATAGCACATGGGTAGAAGAGAAGGTCAATTAAGGGATCAACCATAGAATATATGTCTTCGGCTACGCTGGATGGATGAATCATTGGAATACGGACTAAAGGTTCGAAAATCAAGGTGCGTAACACTTTTTGTTAAGGCTATGCATTAACTATGACTAAAAGTCGTTGCATGTATCGTCCAACTTGCCATACGCGATTCTCCAGGCAGATGGCAAGGGAGAAAAGGCAATGATACTCTGAGGCTATGTCTTCACCATCTGTAATCAAACAAGTATTGCCTTTTCTTCTTTAATTTATCCCGCTCTGAGTATTTCTACAATACCAAGTCTCATTATCTTCGGACAAACCCGCGTACAACGGGTTGTGTCATAGAGAGCCTAGGTGAACGGTCCTCAGCATATTCTTCAAGAAACTTTTTATATATATCACATTCGAGTTCAATAAGGCTTCACATCGACATAGTTCTCCATGATGATGAGAAAGGTGCAGAATCTAACCGGTGGTCACATTATTAACTCACCTTGAGTTGGGATCTGTCGCAGTCGTGGCCGCATGTTTTTAGGGAGAGTATCTTAACAGGGGTTCTACAGCTAAAGTGCATTGATAGAGTTTAGTTGATTCGAACGACACGCTGAGTTTTAGATCAGGGGCGGATGGCAGCAAGCAGGGTGCATTGAATTGACCCACATCTCGGCCCGTCCCTGACAGGAGCATGTATCACGTATCCCTTTGACGGTGACCACTGCGCGTTTTAGTGCTCAAGGGTCCCGACGAATTGGCAGCGTTTGCCTTCTTTTGCCAAGTTACCGATTACAGGAGGCGGTCGAGAGACGACGCTAAAATATGTTCTGGCACCATAAAAGGGATAACTGTGACGCCCTTCCCCGCCTTTCCCTCCCCCTTCAATGTTTCAGGGTCAATAGTGCAGGCATAAAAAAGGACATGTCCCGCTAAGTTTGCCCTGCCGAGAGACTCAATGTTCTACTACAAAAAATTTTTTGCGGCTGCATAGGGATAGTGGGACAGCGAGCTGCGCCCGGCCCTAGTACGAGACAGGAATACCCGTAAATTCTGGATTGTACTGTGATGGGTGTGCTGCTGGACTGCGACTCCTTCGGTTGATTACCACGGAGTTGCGGTGGATCTAGACCGCTAAACAGCATGATTGGAAGTCTCGCATCTTTGTATTTTCCTTTCTCGATCTAAAGCAGGCATTGGTTTATGAACCCCGCTGCGCAAGTAGATACTGACATTACATATACCCCTGCAGTCACCTCTTCGACCGCCCGCAACCTCTTAACCCTTAGATTTAGATCATAGCAACTATATTTGTTTCATTGACCCATCGTACGGTTCTGAAGACATAGGCCTGAAGTCGGGTGTCACGTGATCGCTTACCCGTCGCGGAGCTTTGTGCTTGTGTCGCTGGCTGTTGCCTGGAATGGGTTTTCTTCCGTCCTTCACCTTCAAGTTCAGTCAATTAGGCCTACGCAACAGTTGTGGTTCTGTGTAAACATTACTATCGTGACAAGCTGACTTAAATCTATTACGGGAAACGTACAATTTCTAACTAGCAAAGGTATAGACTTTTCCCATCTGGTATTAACTAAAGTGGAAGTCCTTGGTCTTGGCAAAAATGACGTTAATCTGCACTTCATGGAATAGAATGACCTGCTCCCTGCTATAGTCATGATCCGACAGCATGACTACACATAATTATGCCACTACACTATGGCCCTCAAGCGGCTAGAGACACTGGCCTGTTACCGTATCCCAGACCTTAATATTATAGTCGTCTAATATTGATGCTAGCTGTGTGCTATCGCCTGAGAACGTTACTAAGTAGACGGGGCCGCTATGTCTCTCTAGCGTCCGGAGATACTGGCCTGTTGTAGTATCCCAGACCTTGACGGTCTTGTCGTCTGATGACGACGCCATCTGCGTACCATCGCCTGAAAACGCTACCGACTCAACGATATCACTATGGCCCTCAAGCGTCGGGAGACACTGACCTGTTGCAGTATCCCAGACATGATAAGTCACCGTACCCACTTTCCGACCACCCCCCACTTCCGACCACCTAAAAATCCCTCATCATCAACCTCATCCTCCAACTTCCAACTATCACAACTTTTTCCATACTTATCCAAATAGCCTCATCTTTCTAGGTTACCTTATTTATAGCCTAATAGTCCAGTATACCAAACATAAGCTTAATCAGGCGCTAAAGGCTATGGCCAATAGCGTTAGTCAACACTAAGCAGCTTATACCTATAGCATCCCAAAAACTACCTTACAAAACCACATAACTAACACCTAGTCAAAAGCATTAGCTTTTTCTGACTTCCAGAGGCTCTCTATTAGTCAAAAAACTAAGCTAACTAACTAAATACAGATCCAAGCTAACCTTAGGCTTAGACTAACATATCAGCAAGTCAAAGAATTTGCCTAGCATATCCTAAATATAATAAGCAATACCTAGCCTCTAAAAAAAAAATTAAGTAAATACTTTTATATAAAAAAACCTATTTATTAAAATCTAAAAAAGTTAATTTATTAATTCTAAATATATTAATAAAATATCTATTAAAGTTATTAAAAACTAATTTAAATATCTAATAATCTTAGTAATATTAGCTGTTTAATTAACTAATAAATATAATATAAATAAAACTAATATCCTTAAAAGCTAAAAAGTAAATAGGCTAGTATTAAATAAAATAAAAACTAAGTCTATATATAAAAAACAACTTAGATTATAAGCCTAGATATTTATTATTAAGTATATTTTAGCTAAAAGCTAAATATTATGTTTTTTTATTATATATAAAAATAAAATAGTTTAATAGTAATAGTTTTTTTTAGAATTTATTTTTTATAATAAATAAAAGTTTATAATAATAAATAATAAATAAATAACTAATAGAACTACTATTAAGTAACTACTAAAAGTCTTTTTACTATAAATTATCCTTTAGCTTAATTAGGCTAGACTACTAATCCTAAATAAGTATAAAAGCTTTATAATAATAGAATTTATATAATAATACTGTATTAATAATATTTATTTATTATTCTTACTACTATATACCTCTTATATTCTTTAACTACTAGATCTATTAGTCTTTAGCCTAATTAAGTTAACTTATTATAAAAAGCTTTAACTTAACTTTAATAAATAAAATAATTTAATTATAATTAATAAAAAACACTTTATATTTTATTATTAGTAAATATACTTATTTAAGCTAATAAAAAGTAATATTATAAGTAGCTAAATAAGTATAAGATTATAGCCTATTAATATAACTAGACCTCTTATAAGCTCTTTACTATTACCTAAAGTAATAGCATTAATAATACTACTTAATAAGGCTACCTAAGGTATCTAAGATATCTAAAGTATCTAAAATACCTAAAGTGTAAAGGGATAAGAATCTACTATATCTACTATTATATAGTCTATACCTAAAAAAATAAAGAATCTTAATGTTACAGCGTAGCTAGCTAGCACTATGGCTGCTACCTGTCGCGACCCCTGGGGATAGATAGGGCCTGTGTACGCAGCTGTGGTAGCTGGAAGGGAGGTTTTAGTCACGTAATAAGGGGATTAGCTAGTTGTTACGACCCAGAAAGCGTTGGTTAACATAACCACCTAGAACGAACCCACAAGGAACCAAGGGAACAATCAGACTCATGTATGCCTAACCACGGCGCTTACAGGTAAGGGTCAGAACAGAAGAACTAGGGACAAGTCATGTGATAATAAGGAAGTAATCAAGAGATAAGGTGATCACTGGGAGTGATCACCAAGTAAGCAGCTCACCTTAGGCCCACTTTAGTTAATCACCACCAACAGTATTACAGTAAATAGATATAAGTATATAAACAGGACTTAAGCCTAGAGCTCAAGAACTCTCTATAGTTCTTTAGTAATTAACTTTATGATTTATTCTTTTATAAGTAACTTTTAGATTATCCTTCTGTTATAAAGCTATAAGCTATTTATGCCTAGATATACTTAACTAATCACTAGACACTAATAGACTAGTAAGACTACTAATAAGACTTACCTTACTATTACTAAGTATTAACCTTAGCTACCTATTAATAAAAACTACTACTATTAGATATTTAACTATAATACTTTAATTACTTCTATTTAGTAAGTTAACCTTAATACTTACTAAATAGTAATTATATTTACTAAAAGTATATTAGCTTTATTTTTAATAGGTTCTAAGAAAAAGGTACTTATATTTTTTACTCTTAAGAACCTAGATAATAAAATAAAGGATATTAAAGGATTAAATAATAAAATTAAATTTATTAGAAAAATATATAAAGATTAGTAAAAGTATATAAAGTAAAACAATAACGATATTATATAACTATAAGCTATAGTAAACAAAACTACTAATACTCTCTAAACAAAGACTCTAAAAACTAATAAACTTAAATAATAAGTCTAGATTTTATAAAAAGCTATTAATATTATCTTAACCTTATTAAAAAAATAAGAAAAGCTTAAGCTTAACTCTCTTATTACCTATAATAAGACCTCTAGAACTTTAAAAGGATTCCTGATTCAGATTAGAACCTACTAGATGTTTTATATAAGCAACTTCTACACAGAAATAAAAAGAATTATTTATATAAGTATCTTCTTTAAAGGGTAAGTATTCTCTTAGTTTAAACTTTACTTAAAAAACTACCTAGATAATAAAACACTAAAATACTATAATCTAAAAACCTAGTAAATTTCAGAAGCTTTGTAGGATTTAAGTATACTCTGAAATCTTTATTTTAGGACCTTAATAAAAAATAATAAGCTAAATAAGACTTAGTAAATCTTAAGTAAACCAAGTTAATTACTAATTATACTATAGAATTCTAAAGAATCTATATATAACTTAATTACACTAATAACACTAAGATCTTTATGTTTTACTAAGGACTTAAGGAAGACATAAAAGATGAACTATCTAAGCTTAACTAACTAGATAATTTCTTATAATATGTAGAAATAGTAGTTAAGATTAACACTAGGCTGTATAAGTAATAGAAAAAAAAAAAGAAATATGTTACCCTTAGTTAAATACTAGTAAGAAGTATGTATTATAAGGACCTAAGAACTTATAACTTAACTTATACTAGTAAAATAACTAGCAATATAATAAGCTAAGTACTTTTTATAAATAGTATAATAGACCTATAAATATTAATATTATAGTTAAAAAAACTTATTAAAACTATTAAAACTTAAAGGACTTTAAATGTTATAATTATAAAAAGTCTAGATATATAGCTAAAGACTATAAATAGCCTAAATAACTCTAGAATAAACTTATACTTAAAGGTACTAAAAGGGCTAATATAGCAAAAAGGGAAGCCTTTTATAAACAATAGAACTAGATTACCTACTTTAATAACGACTATTATGTTTATTAAGAATAAAAGAAATAAGTAGAATAGTACTCTTAACTACTAAAAAATAAAACTATAGTAATTTCCTAAAGAACTTAAAGAAAAGGCTAATTAAACTAAACTATAGTCTAGTAATTAAAAAAATAAAACTAGTAGCTAATTACTAAACTTATCTAAGCTAAAGAAGCTACATAAAGTAAAAAAAATAACCTTTATATACTTAACACCTTAAAAGTTATTAAAGAGTAACTATAACTACAAATATAAGCCTAAAATAACTTTCAAAAATAATAAGTACTTAAAGAAGATTTTAAAAATACCCTTAAAGAGAAAAAAAACACTAAACCTAAAAAACCTACTAAGATAATAGCTATAGAACAAAAACAACTATAATAACCTAGATTTTTACCTTTATAACTTAGGTTTAAAAAACCTATACTATAAGAATTAATTAAGGTATATAATAAAAAAATAAGTTTTAAAGGAGAACATAAAGAGTTACTTAATAAGTTTAAACCTCTAAGTAAGCTTAAGAAAAAAGCTATTAAATAACTTATAAATCTTAAGAACATAAGTTAAACTTTTACCTAATTAATATCCTACAAAGACATTAAAAAGAGAACTAAGTCTATTACCTTTACTTTATTCTCAGAAGAAAAAGAATCCTTTAACAAGTCAGACTACAAAAAAAAGATTTTTTATAAATAGGAAACATAAATCTATAAAGCTAACCAAAGCCTGATCTAATATAACCTAGATGAACTAATTGCTGTGTAAATATATATTAACTTTAGTAATAACCTAATAATTAAAAGGGCTTAGCTTACTAAAGACAACTACCTTAAGTACTAACTATAGTACAAAAAGAATAAGGATAATCAGAAAGTCTAGTTTTATAGAATAGATAATACTAGGATTAATAGGAAACCAGTAGTATTTATCCTAGAGGAACCTGTATTTAAAGACTATAAGTACCTTAACTTAAAGTATATATACTATACTAAAGTATTCTAAGCTAACTATATCTACAACAAATACTAGTTCTACCTCTAAAACAAAGAACTTAATAACTTCTTTTCTTAGCAAAGAAAGTAATAGCTAATTCTTATAATTTACCTTTAGTATTAACTTAGCATATAAATAATTAAGGAATTTAAAGCAAATTAGCTATATATATAACCTAGTCCAGAATACCTAGTTCTATACTATAATAAACTAATTAAATACTAGTCTAAATATATATATAATAAGTATATAATATACTATATAAGTAAAGCTAAAGTATAAAGAACCTAGATTAAGGAACAGATACCCCTTAAAGTAAAACCAGTGGATATAAAAGGAAAATCTAACTATTAATACTACTTAAAAAACTAAGGACACTAACTACACCAGGATAGTAGGCAGTAACACTAAAGAAGTCCTTATGTTTAGCTATAATAATAAACGCCTTACACCTTGTTCTAAGCGTTTATATTAAAGGGTAGTCTACCTAGGTTATAATTAATAGTAGAGTATAAGTAAATCTAATATTACCTAGGTTAGTAAATTAATAAGGAATCTAATAAAGATTTAAGAATAAATCCTATACTTTATAAAATATAAAAGAAGAAACAGTTAAGTATAGTAGAGATACTATTAACAGAGAAACTATATAACTCTCTATAGTTACTTATAACTATTAAAAACATCTAATCTTTAATATAGCATAAATTAGAGATATAGATATTATCCTTGGAATCTTATAGTTATAATAATATAACCTAAGTATAGATTAAAGAACAGGTTAACTCTAGTAAAGAGATTTAACTATAAGGTAATATTACTAGCTGTAACCCCTAAGTAAATTAAAACGATATAGATATATTGTATATATTAGGAAAATTAAACCTATAAAGGACAAACAGTTCAAACGATTCATTAATAATTAATAGGAAAAAGAACACCTCTCTCTAATCCTAGAACAATACTATAAGTATACTAAACTCTTTATTAAGAAATTAAAAACCGGCTTATTTAAACATAGCTTATATAACTATAAGATCCTACTTAAAGAAGAAGTATACCTAAAGTTCTATAAAATCTATAAACTAAATAAAACAGAACATAAGGCGTTTAATAAATACCTTAAAGAAAACCTATATAAAGGTTATATTTAACTATTAATATCTCTTATAAGATACCTTATTCTATTTATACTAAAGAAGAACAGTAAATTATAACTCTACGTTAACTACTAATAACTTAATAATATTACTATTAAGAACTACTATCTATTACCTTTCATTTTAGAATTATAAGACTAGCTATATTATATTAAGTAGTTTATAGCTATTAACCTTAAAGAAGCCTATAACCTAATTAGAATAAAGGAAAGTAAGGAATAAAAAACATGTTTTTGTACCTAAAAAGGTAACTTTAAATACCTTATTATACCCTTTAAACTTACTAATATACCTGTTACCTTTTAAATAATAATTAACTATGTTCTAAGAGAATTCCTAGATATATTTATTATTGTTTACTTAAATAATATACTTATCTATGAATAACCCCCTGTTATTCTTACTCTATATATAAGAGAGGCAACTTCCATAACTACTACCAGTTAAACCCTAACAGGCCTATCTATAACAGCAACAGCCACCTACCAAAGGCAAACAATACAGCCACTAACAAACTAGCTCACCTACAACAACCTGTCTAACACGTAAATATAACAACCCAGAACACACTTCAACCAAGACACTATCCCTATACTAAGAATTATTCTTAAATAAGTATAACATTTCTACTAGAGATACACAGGTTATTACAGGTAATAATAGCTACTTTTTTAATAAGCTACTTTATATACCCTTACTATATAAACTTAACACCATCTAGGACCACCTAACATAGTAATTCTTTTTCTTTCAAGGACATTAGTGATTTTCTGGATACTCCTAAAGGGATCCATACGCTGACTATCATGCCAGCAATCAACTTGCCAAAAGATACTCTAACTCAACCTATACCGTTACGCCTATACAGTTCCTTAGCTAGTACCACAACATCCAGGGAAGCTGTTCTAGCGTTACTGCAGGGCAGCGTGTATACAAAGGGCAAGTTCAAAAAATTCCCAGCCAGGCAAAATTAACGCCACTGCCATGTACCAGGTATACTAATACAGGGGGTGCTCTTCAACAGATCGCTAGGCAGCACAGCACCTAAACCTAACGCGACAATAACTGCCCCCAGCGCAACAGGCTCGCCAACCTACTACAAAACCGCCACACCCACCAACCCAACACAAAGCAGCACCATCAGCCAGTACAGCGCCTACTACCTAATTACGCCCAGCAACAACTGCTTCATAGTGAACCAGCGCTTTAACCTAGCCACCAGCAAGCTATAAGAGTAGAACACATACCTTAATAAAGCATGCACTAACCTCTGGCTTAGCTATAACGCCTACGTTGCCCCCGTGACCCCAAGCGACCCTCTGCCGACGGCACCTGGCTGCGCGGCGTCACCTGCCAGGGGACCGCGTTCAGCGACTACTGCTTGCCATTTGGCTTCTGCGGCAGCAGGCCCAAGTACTACGGCGGCAATAATGACGATGACGACGGCGGCGGCGGCGGCAGGTCCAAAACGGAAGACGGCACATACAGCCCAGACTACGGTAAGACGATGTGCACGCCGCAGTTTGGCGGCTATTGCAGCATCTACGGCTTTTACAGGTCCAGGTCAGACTTTTGCGCACCCAGGAACTACCACTCAGGCAACTACAAGCCCAACGTAGACAGCCCGTCAACAAACAGGGAGTGCAGGCCCAACAACGCAGGGAACAAGACGTGCACTAGGACGCAGTTTAGGGCGTGCTGCTCGGTACACGGCTTCTGTGGTGATAGGGACAACTATTACAAGGGTCTGGCTGTTATAGCGGCGCCTGTGTCCCCCGGGTATATAGTTTAGGTTAACTTTGCTTGTTCTTATTGTTCGTTGTCCATCTTGTCAGTTTGGTTTATGGCTTTCGTTGTTTCGCTCTACTGCCTGCGCGCGTCACTTCGTAATACTGCTGTACATTACGCACTGCACCGTCAAAGGATAATGTGGCAGCTCACCTCAAGGTAATGTGGCGTAACGTGGCACAGCCAAGGGGCGCAAGGTTCGTTCCATTGTCTCAGTGCGCGGGGTCATTTTAGCTCGTGAAAAGCTGAGGATTAGCAACTTAAGATAATCCTTCTGTTCAATACACGACCTATGTTTGCAATCAATCCCTTTCTGACAGCGGTTCATTCACATATTCGCAGTCAATCTCACCTTTCAGTTCCGGAACGGGTTGCTAGGAGGACTATGTGCCCCCCCCCTTTTCTAGATGAAAACCATGCGCAATATAACGTCGCTCAGCCTTTCTTAAAAAGGCACCCAGCTCATCTGTTAGCCCATTCGCGATATCAGACTTTCTAAACCCCGTGGCAATATCAGATTCTGGGTTTCAAGGTGGGTTAAGTTCGTCCACCCACTTCGTGCCCATCCAGACGATAGGTAGGCGCATTGCGCACGGTCATCACTGCGTATCACAACAAAGTTCTTCGAAATACATAAAAAGACAACGGGAGGAATTTATTTTCAGACAAACCTGAATCGTTTCAATTCTATACCTTCGCGAACTAGACAGACGATGCCACTTTTCCTTTTACAAATCAATTAACTAAACAATGGTTCCTCATGACCAACAACTCCAAATCGATCTCTCTAAATACGAGAAACTTGATTATAAGCAGGCAGGACATCTGCGCCACTTTCACAATCTCGTAACCCAGGCCGATGGAGAATGGCACAGAATGGGATCCCAACAAGAAGCTTGCCAAGAATTTGCTGACGCCTACCGATATCAGCTTGCTCAGATGTCCTATGGGGCAGCCGTAGCTCACTATCATCGCCTACCGGCTGCCAGAAGCATCTTCAAACCCCTCTTGCGGCGCATCATTCACAAGATGCTTCGTCCCGAAGTCTGGGGCTATTGGTATCTTAACAGCCAGTCAGGCAAGCTCGTTGACCCGGATATCACAGAGCTAAGAAAACCTTGGGCTGATCCGGTTGCTATGGAGAACATCATGTACAGCGGCCATTTGCTTTTAATGACTAGCCTGTACGCGATGCTCTTCGACGACGATGAGTTCGAGAAGCCGGGGTCGATCACCTTCACTTGGGCTCCTATATTGTGGGGATTCGGTCCTGAGACGTACCGTTACGACAACCGGAGTATACAGGAGGTGATCTTGAAGCAGATGGAACGCAACAACTGGGTCGGTGTCTGCTGCGAGCCCAATGTTGTGTTCGTTGTTTGCAATCAGTTTCCGGCATGCACTTCGCGTTTGCCAACACTTAAGCTTTTGCGGTTTCGCTAACTTGTTATAGATCATCGCGATGCGGTACAACGACGTCCGCGACGGCGTTGATACCGTGAGTCACGTCCTCGAGAAGTACAAGAAGGCGATCGCGGATAGAGGGCTCTTGCGTCCTGATGGACTCTACGCCGAGTGGCTCTACTTAAAGCAGGATCGGATTCGGCCTCCGGTGGGTGTATCTTCAGTTGCGTGGTTGGTTGTCGATGCCTAATTACGGTATTTGATTGAGCACTGACCCAGTGAGTAGGGCCAATGCTTTCATGAACTCCTGGAACTCAGATTTCGTTTACACCTCGTATGAAAAACAAGCTTTGGGTTTCATCATGTCCATAAATGGCGAGTTTCGGCTGCAGGACCGCTTGGTGGCTCTGGAATACCGAAAGCTTACGCAGACTGAAAACCCCGTACATAGTGCGTCAGTCATCCTCGATAAAGCTCGAGCTGAGGCTGCAAAACTGTCTACCAGTCCATTTTCGATTACGTCGCCGTATCTCGGTTATGTAGTGCTGTGGCTTTCTGAAATCGGAAAGGAGAATGAGCTAAAGAGTCTTCTAAAGTACGCCGACTCACGGCTTTTACCAACATGGGAGAGGGGTGGCCTCTTCTACCCGAGGAATGATATCAGAGTAAGTGAGGAGGGTGACTGGGTACACATGAGCCCCTTCACTGGTAATACGGCGATCGGCTACGCGCGACTCAACGTCAAGGACGGCCAGAAGATTATGTGGGAGACGCCATGGACTTCTGAGATGCTTGGGTCTCGGCCGTGGATAGATGAGGTTCTTCTCTCTCATGGTGTGGATTGCTTGCGAGCTTATTGGGACGATGAGGAGGAATTGCTAGTTCTGACCATAAGAGCGTGGGATAACAGATCAGTGAATGTGAGACCTGTTGCTCGGAATCTCTCGGCCGGTGCGTGGGGAATATATGTACAGGGAACGCTAGGCCGTTCAATTACGGTTGAAGATGGCGGATCTCTAGCAGTAGACGTAGAAGTGTCTAGCAAAGAAGTAGACATCGTGTTTGTAAAATTGTAAGGCGAATTTAGGTATAAAGGATATTTTAGGGCATAAACGCTTTCAATTAGACCCCCAAAATCGTCTTCGACAAATCCAGGTCGGTTTCGTTAAAATCCTTAACTATCATACTAACATATTATGTAGTTAACGTTTCGTAGCATCCTCCTGTTCCTTTAACGACTATGGAGATATGCCAAAAGCTTCCGAGTGAAGATGAACACTTCGTCCGAAAAATTGTTCCCATGCTTCAATTGTTTAAGAGACGTGTACGGGTTCTTTTTGTGGTAAATAAAATGGCATTTTTGGAAAAAACACATGCATACAAAGAACTGCTCCAAAGAAGGCTGAGCCTTGTTGTCATATATGACACTGACTATACTCAGCTCGTCTAGTGCATTGTTATCGTATCCTTGCCTACCTAAAAGTTTCATTTCTCAATCATCTACAAATCCAAGGCGATATCCTTTGTTCGTAGCGCTGTATTCGCAGAGAGCGTTTTCAAAACACCTTCATATGCTTTCAAAAATACTTCCGGATCTTGCGGACCGTACAACGAACTTTGCAGCTTGGCCGTAAGCAGAGGATCCCGCGATGGATCATCCGCGATTTCGAGAACGACGTCATGAGATGTGCTCTCACGAGACACCATGACCTTGACAATAGTAGCATCTCCAAGCTTACCACTGTCGGCACGTTCGCCTTCTCTATAATCGAAGACCGCCTGGACTAGTGGCTCGTGCGCAATTTGTTTGGCTGAAGGGGAGTTGGGACCAGCAAGGCCAAGTTGTTCCAGCACAACGCCATAAGGAACTGCTGAATGCAGCTTCGTCTCACGCATAAAATCCTTGATGTCAGAAAGGACATCATCAAATATTTCTCCTGGAGGACTGTTGCCGACGAGATAAAGGAAAGACCTGAGCTAGAATTCTTCAACAATTTTGGCCTCCCATACCGAGGTTTTGAGGCTCACAAGGATTCATTCGAGGGCAGAGATGGCATCTTGCCAAGAACAGTCAGGACAAAGCTAACAAAGCGGCTGGGCTTCATCACCGGGTGTATGGCAGAAGAGGCAAGTGAAGTGCTTCAAGAGGTGTTTGGCAACGACTCAACGTGGCGTGTCTCTCATCAAGAAAGATGTCCAAGAGGTCGCGGCCAGGATGAGCTCGAGAGTATTCCTGGGCCGTGACTTCGCTCGCGACAGCAGATGGCTGCAAATTGCCAAGGACCACACCTTTCAAATCTACAGAGCTGTCCTCCAGCTCAACCGGCTGCCGAAGACGTCAAGATGGCCGCTTCAGTGGTTCCTACCTAGTTGCAAAGCGCTCAGACGGCAAGTCATCGATGCCAGAAATATCATCACCCCAGAAACCCAGAAACGCATCAAGGAGATGAAGAGTCTAAGTCAGGGAGACAAGGCTCCCAAGACCATGGATGCGCTTTCCTGGATCCTGGAGGTTGGTTGGAAGCAAAAGTTCGACCCTGCTCATGTCCAACTCGCTTTGAGCGTGGTATCCATCAATACTGCCGGGGAGGTCATGGCACAAGCCGTCATCGACGTGTGTGAGCACCCATGGTTGGTCTCCGCGCTCAGGGAAGAGATTATCTCCGTGGTCAAGGAGAATGGCTGGCAGAAATCGACGTTCTACCAGCTGAGGCTGACGGATAGCTTTCTCAAAGAGAGTCAACGAGTTCATGCCCTGAATTGGCGTAAGTAATTCCTTCTTTTCCCGTCATCTGGTAAGGAAAAGTTCTAACGAACAGCGGGACTGAAGACTGGATGAAGCACCACGTGCGACATACATTCGCATTGTCAGACGGGACTGTGCTCCAGGCCGGTGCCACGGTCTCGGTGGCAGCGAATACGACGAATGATCCTGAGCTGTTTTCGATGCCAGAAAAATTTATACCGGACAGGTTTTTGAAACTGCGAAGCGAACCGGGGCAGGAGAGCAAGTGGCAATTCGTGGAACTACACCCTTCCCTCATGACGTTTGGCTACGGCCAGCATGCCTGTCCCGGTGTCAGAGGCTGGAGTCGTACAGAGTAACGAGGTCGGCGATGGGCACAGGTAGGGGTGGGTGTTGACTGTTATTCCAATCTGCCTTTTCCCCTAGGTCTGCCGCAGCTACTCCTTATATGCCCCCAGGTCCCCCCCCTTAACTAAGCCCAGTTCCCCTAGCTATAACACTAATTTAGCGGCGTTATACTATCGCCTTTCTCTAACGTTAGTCTCAGTAGCTAACCTTTGTTGTTAGAGTCTGTGTTAGCTATATAGCTAGAATCCCTTTATAATCCCTTGACTATGTGCTAGTATGGCCCCCAGTTACCCTGCTGATAGCCCCACTAGTGCTGCGCTAGTGCCCCCCCCTCCCCTCTAGGCGCCTAACATGATCCCCCCCTTTAAAGTCTTGTCCCTAGGACCTCTGAGGGTGTCCCTACTGCTCCTCTGCTGCCCTACCTATTAGCTCCCATATTTCAAAAGAGTCTGGGAACTCTTCCAGGCTTTAACAGACTACTAGGTCAATAACTATCTCCCTAGCTAGTTACTTCCCTTTTGCCTTACCCTTATATCTACTACTTCCTAACCTAGCTAGTAGTTCTTATACTACCATATAGTTAAGTCTAATTACCTTAGATTTAAGGTATAAGCCTTTAATCTCTTAGTCTCTAGATATAAGGATTATTTGCTTTATAGTAAAGACCTTTTATTTATTTTTAATATATAATTTTTTTTGTTTTTTTTATATACCTTTTCTTTTTATAGCTTTAAGCTCTTTTATTATCCTTTTAAGATATAAGGCTAATATTTAAGCTATTTCTTTATTTCTTTAGGTTATAAGCTTTAAGTTATACTACTTTTATAATAGTTATAATATTAAGTTTTATTTATTAAATAAAATACTAGTCTTTTACTAGTACCCCTTTACTTTTCTTCTTTTAACTAAACTAACTAGTCTTTATAAGCTAAAGTTATTATTATAATTTACTTTTATTTATTTATTTAGCTAAATTAATAGCCTTTTATTATTAATATTTTTTTTCTTTTTCTTATTTTTCCTTTTTTTTCCTTTTTTTTTTTATAAATACTTTTATTTTATTATTATTTTTTTGTTTTTTTATTATACTATTACTACTACTACTAACATTACTGTTACCGCTTAACTCTAATAACACCCCTACTAGCCCCTAGCTCCCTTACCGCTACCGTTATATCTACTACTACTACTACTACTCCTACTACTACTACTACTACTCTTACCGCTACTACTGCTACTCCCTTCGCCGCTACTACTACTACTGATACTACTAGTGTCTTACAGTACCCCCTTAATAACAACAACGCTACTATCTACGCTATTATTTATTACTACTGCCTACGCTAGATAGCTAACTAGTACCTAGGTTTCCTAGACGCATTAAACAAGTTTCTTTACTACCTTGAGATAACTAGTAAGTGTTTTACCTCTTAGTGCCCTCTTAGTACCCTCTTAGTCCCTTGTTTCTAGTCTAATATTAATAATAGCTAGTAATAAGTATAGTTATTATATTACTTTTAAAGGTAAAAAGTATATTTTTATAAGTTATTACTTTTCTATAACTAGTAACTTATAGTTAACCTATTAATAGGCTATTTATATTATTACTACTACTATTATTACCTTTAAAAACATTTTTAAAGAACTCTATAAAAAAAATAATATCTTTATTGCTTTTACTTTAAAGAAAATACAATATCCCTTAATACCTTACTAATACTTTACTATTATTAACTTTTACTAAAATAATATTAAGAAAGCTTAGCTTATAGCTAAAAAGGCTCTTTAAAAAAAGGCCTTTACTACTAAGGCTTTTAATACTAAGCGTTAAGCTAAAGAGAAAAAGAAGAAGTAGCTTTTATATTAATATAAGGTTATTATTACTAAGGCCTTTACTACTACTACTAAGTCCTTAGCTAAGTTAACTAAAGTGTTTACTATAGCTCTTAAGGCCTAGAACGCCTTTCTTTAAGAGTAAACTAAGGCTATAAAGGCCTAAGGTACTCTCTTCTTTAAGTAAACTATTACTTATAGCTAAGTTATATATACTCTTAGTACTTTTTTAGTACTTTATTAATCTTTTAATATTTTCTTAGTATATTAGTAAGCTTAAGTTTAATACTAGTAACTCTACTAATACTTATAGTACTAAGAAGAACAAAGAGGATAATAAGACTAATACCTAGGCCTTATTATCCTTTTACTACTCTTTTTCTCTTTTTTATTATTTATTTATTTGTTTTTGTTTTTTTTTGTTCTTAAAATACTTAGCCTTTTAAGCTATATTTATTTCTTAGCCTTAATACTATAAAAAATAGTATAAAATACTAGCTATTATATTACCTAGTTTTTTAAATTACTTTTTTACTAGTACTTTGTTAATAACCTTTTACTTATAGACTTATTATAGCTCTAGTCTTATATTCTTTTATAGTTCTTATAAGTTCTCTTTTTTTTTATACCTTTTTTATTTTATTAGATACTATTTGTTTTATTTTAGTCCCTTATAAGTAATAATTTAGTTAACCTTATAGACGTTTATATCCTTTTCTTTAATAGGTATCTCCTAGGGCTCCTCTAGTGTTCTATAGAACTTCTCTAGCTGTAATAAAAAGAACACGTTATAAATATAATATTTTCTCCTTATATTTAGCTTATAAGCTTTTCTTTTAGTAATTATCTATATAACTATAAAGGGGCCTAAGTACTTATTAAATAGCTTCTTTAATAGTTATTATTTGTTGAATGGATTCTCTCTTCCTGAGAGAACCCGTTTGTACGATCATACTCGGGTTAAAGTTAAGGTGAACCAAAGATATATTTTCCGTGATTATCTTCCTAACTACAAGACTTGGCTTTCGTACACGAGATATATGATCTTGTATGTCCCTAAGTCAGTTCAGCATGAATATACTTTTGATCCCCTCAATGGTTAACCAAGAGCTGAATATCTAGTCTGTGCCCTCTGCCATAATGTATGTCCCTGAGTCGTGCGTGTTGTACAACCAGCTGGTGCTGTTATTTTAACATTATTATTTAATAAACCTTACTAATAATAGGACCTTTTTTTTTACTTAGAATTCTACTTTTATCCTTTTAGTATTATACTATTTCTTATAGGCTTTTATTAAGGACTTTAGTGTTTCTTTAGTAGTAGCCTTTTTATTATATAGCTACTTTATTCTTTCTTTAGCTATTAGTACTTCTATAAGGATTTAACCTTCTAGCTTAGCGTTATAAGGGTTCTATAAAAGATATCCTATAAGTACCTTTACTAGTACTACATAAATAATACTATACTATAACTTATTATAGACAAATTTAGCTATTAGTAACTACTTAGCCTAGTTATCTTACTCTAAGTTATAGAAGGCTTATAAGAAGTACTTAATATTCTAGTTTTGTTTTTTTATTTACCTATTAGTCTATAAGTAGTATACTATATTAAGTTTCTTTTTAATTATAAGTAAATAATATACTATTACCTAGAAGTAGCTTATAAATAGTAACTCCTTATCTAATACTATTACTACTAAAATACTAAATTATAAAAAGACCTTTTTAACTAAGAGAGTTACTAGCTAATCTACTATTATAGTCTCTCTTATTAATATATAAACTATATATTTAATAAGCTTATTTACTATAATTAAGATATTATTATAAGTGCTTTTAGTGAATCCTTTTAACTTAAGTAGCTTTATAATAAAATTAAAAGAAATATGTTCTTATAGTTAGCTTAGTAAAGAGAAAAGTATTAGCTTCTTATAAGGTAAGTAGTATCTTAGCTTAGTCCTTTAATATATTATATATATCTTAACGTATTCTCTTATATTTTTCTTTAGTAATTTCTAGAAAAACATTTAGCTAATCCTTTTAATAGTCTAGGTTACCTTTAAGTATCCCCTTATTAGCTTGTTATAAAACGCGTAGAGAAGCTATAGCTTAGCTATATAGTTTTCTAGGACAATAAGCTTACTTTTATAGTATAGAGTACTATTTTCTCCTTAGGTGTTACCCTTACCGATAGACACAGGAGGTCTACCAGTATATAAGGTAGACCTCCTACAGGGTCATTAAGGGAATCAACTTCTTTCACCTCTATCTTCTAGATCTTATCTTTGGTAAAGCAGGTTCACTACATTAACTATAAGGTCTATCAGACTACATAATAGATCTAACTACTCCTCTAAAGGACTTACTTTACCAGAGAGGTAACAAGTAATAGCATAACCTCCTACTTTATTCCTTAGCTCTTATTAAGAAACAAATTTACTATATAAATCTTATCTCTTATTAAGATAAATAACTAAGAAATAAACCTTAGCTTAATAAAAGTAATAATATAATAACTTACTCTATATACTATTATATTAAAGCTAATATTAAGTATAGCTAATAATAAGACCTAAGAGACTAAAGTACTATAATTAAATCTAAAACCTTATAAATATACCTAAATACTTTTTATTAATTAAGCTAGCTATACTATTACTACTATAATAGTAACAACAAATACTTAGCTAAGTAAATTAAAAAACAAAATTTTTAAACTAACTTTACGCTATAAAGCATAACTAACCTAGGCTTATATCTAAAATATCTACTATATATAGTGCTTTATTAAACAAAAGCTAAACAAACTATTAGTTTATAGTCTCTTAAATAACTTTTAATAGAACTATACTTAACTATTTATAGTATTTTAGTATATTAACTTTAACAATAAATAATATAAGATTCCCTTTTTTAATAATAAAACTTATATTTTACTATTATACCTTTTTAAGTAGAATCTTAAAAAAGAAATTAAGAAGTACCTATAAATAATAAAATAGATTATTTAGCTTATACACTAAAATAAGCTCCTTAGAGACAAAAACATAGTTAATAATATGTCTTTAATCTTAGAGGACTAAAGTAGCCTAAGTAACTAGCCTAGGACTATTATTATAGCTATAGATCATAAGGTAAATAACTTACTACAAAAACAGTACTAAACCCCCTTTTA